AAAAGATAAATAGTAGAAACAAACTTATTAAAGAGTATTTGTTTCCACATTGAGAAACATTAAATGAAGGAAAAAACATTTGGTGGTTATATTCAATTTTTTCAAATTAAATAATGTTAAAAGTAGAAATTATATTCTTCCAAACAATATTATATTCCTGTTGTTTAAGCAAATAATACAGAAACAAATTACATATGAAGAACGCCGATCTCATGCTATTGATCAAATCTCACGATTTAATTTATTTATCGTCTGCTCATATTTTTAATTCAATATTCGTTTTAAAATATATCGTTTGCTTATATAACTAAATTTGTGAGTGGAATAAGGTTATCAGATTTCCTTTTTGGATTTCATAAAACTTGTATTCTCTTTATCATTTATGCTACCATTTTGCACCGGTTTCTACAGAACAACCAAAACGTATTTATCATTGAATTACACGTTTTAATGCTATTCTTTTAAATCAAAATTCTATGAAATCATATGAATTATATTTTCAATATCAGTTTTATTTTACTTGAACTTGATAAATAATCCATCTCAAAAGCCTTAGTTCACACATTCATTCAAATTGCCAATCTTTTGTCAAAATTCATTTGACAAAAGTTGCCAAATCCACTTTTCACACAATCTACAGTTCTTACGGCACTTAAAATAATGCCGTCGTTTTAAGCCATCATTTTTATTTAAGGCTTCTGGGCATTTTTTATTTGTTCGTAAGATTATCGAGAGCATAATTTCAAAAAAGAAACTGCCACGCACACATCGTTTTTCTTAACTTCACACGCACTAGAATAAAACAGTACTCGATAAAACAAAATAGAACTCTAATTATCGATAAAAATGTAAACATTTCTCTTTGGCAATGTCGAAATAAACAACTATAACCAAACATTTCTATTGCTGCTGAGAAATTTTATATATTCCATGAGAATTATTTTTACTCGTGATATTTTTATAAGGACTAGTTTCAAGATGAAATAAAATATTAAGATTTAGCACACATTATTTATATATATATATATATATATATATATATATATATATATATATATATATATATATATTTATTTATATATATATATATATATATATATATATATATATATATATATATATATTTTAAAGAAGCACGAATTCTTCCAATATTTAAGTTTAAAAACTCTATTAAAAAATTATTCTTTTATTTTGACATGAAAGCAAAATCTCACACTCAGCATTTGCATTTTTGGAATACTTATACGTATTTATATTTCTGTTACGTGAGGAAGCAATAAAGATTACAGGGAGGGATATTTTATAAAAAATTATTTACTTCTTAAATATATTCTATATACACTGTAATAAAATAATAAAAAACCAGATAACGTCTAAATTTATATGCTTGATGTTTAAAAATTGAATTTTTTCAAAAATAAATTATTCGCATAATTCAAGACGTGTGTGAAAATCAAAATAATCATTTTACACAATAACATTTCAAAACAGATTTCTTGCACAAAAATTTATTATTGTAAACTACATTTCTATTAGAGAGATCGCAAGATTCACTCCTCTAACACCTTTGAAATTAATTACTCTAAAATTTAGAAACCTAATATAGTTTTAAACAAATTTTTTCGTTCTAATTTGATTCATCAAAGAGACAAGTTTCCCCAGAAAGGATCTAGATTCATCAAAAATGTCTCTTCCGGAAGAAATACCAATCCTAGCCAGAAACGAAAATTACAGAAAAAAGTTTACAAAATGGAGGTGAAATTATACATGAAAGATTTAAAGATTTAGCAGTGAAGCATTTTTACAGAAAACTATAAATGGTATACAATGAAATCTTAAACTGAAGAGAGCAAATTTAATGATTTAATAAATTTAGAGGTTTAATAATTGAAACTTAAATAAATATTAGGTATTGAATAGAAATTTTGTATTAACATAAGAATACCAGCAAAACAATGAACTAATGTCTTAACTCTTTAAAAGGACCATTTATTTTTAGTAAAAGTATATTAAGATATTTTAGGAATTGAGATTGATTTTAGAGGAGAAACTCATTTAGCTTATTAGATAAAATTAATTTTCAACACTTTTTTTTATAGTAAGTATGCTTATTTATCACCCAAAAATTGTTTGTTTCCTTTTCGTTTTGTATTTATGAAACATTTTGTAAATACTACAAACTGAAAGAAGAACTGTATATTATAGCTTTTTTATTCGCAGATAACAAATTACAATATCATTTTCCATGAAATTTTGGGAAAACCCTGAGATACACATAACTGAGCCACTGAGTGGACTCTGTATCAAAATTCCTTGGGGAAAAAAAGACTTATTTGAAAGTGTTGGAATCTTGCACATGTTGGGGCCCCTCTTGCTTGGGAGCCCCAAATCCTTAATGCGACTGATACGATGGTAGCTATGCCCCCAAACGAAACATCGCAAGTTGTGCACTTGTGTCACACATGTTCTCCTCTGATATGCCTTAGTACAGCACAAACGTCAGGGCTTGCATGTATTCCCTAAAATTGGTATATAGTTATTCCAACTTTATTCAATCTCACTTTGCCTAGAACTTTTTTTATTACTTAGGTAACTTATGAATCTTCCTTTTCTTTTCCAACTTGAAAACCCTGAAATCAATTGGCGTGCTAGCCGAAGACGAAAATCTAGTTAGTCTTGAGAACCCATATCTATTTTGCGTAATTTACACAAAATAAAGAAATTGGCAATTATAGATCAATGAGGAAGTAACAAGATCGATGCTACCATTTTCAGGAGCGGCGTCCAACTGCATAACGTTCTCGAAGTTGATCTACCCCTCCCATAATCCCATATGTGGCAACAGTAGTTGGACACTATACCTGACTAATGGACCCATCCGTGTTCTTCCTAGACTTCTTAATCCTGTCATGTGGATGGATGGGGGACAGGGTGTGTGAATTCATATTTTTTTAAAAAAATTTCTGAAGTTGTTAACAGATGACAGCATAAATGAATCTAGCTAATCATGGACTAGCTATAGTTAAATAACTAATCATGGATATTAAGAAAAGTTAATGCAATTGGTGATAAGTATACTTAACATGGATTTAGAAAGGGTTAAAATATAATAGAAACTACAAAATATATAAAGCTAATTATTCTAAAAATTTAAAAAAGAAACACACGAGAATTCTTTACCTTGTCCCAAACCATCATAAAAGAAATCACGGATCAAAAGAGTGTACTCATCCACAGCATACACTTGGCCTGTAACTTGGTTGGCATATGTATTCAATTTCCCCAGGGTAGTCCAATATAGGCTTCGTCGGCCGATGCTAAAGTTGATAGACCTGTGGGGAAAAAAATAAAATCAGTTTGTTGGACACTTAATTTTTAGTTTGGCTAAATTTATGCTATCTCATAATGAAAACAATGAACAACTGACGGAATTAGTCTTTCTATGTTCCAGAATCAAACATCTTTTATTTGGCATGCTATTTGATGTTTTATAGGTCCCAGATGGAGTATAGTAGTGTGTTCTCGTATTTTTTCCAATACTTGATAGAATTCATTCTCAAACCTTTTTTCCTGTTACTAAAGCTCTGTTTCATTTGCCAAACTGCCTTGTTGCAATTTATAATTTTTGATTAATTTTCAGAATGATTATAGTTTTCTGCGCCACGTTCGGGAAGTATGAAATTCCTGTTCCATGAACTTTGATTATGTTTTATTGTTACAGTCCATTTATGATGAAGACATATTAAAAAATCTCGCGAGGGTAAAAACATATGCACCAGTAAAAAAAACATTAAAATAATTCTGTTGGGAACTATAAATTCGTAACTAATGTGAAAGAGAAGGATAATGTGACAAAGAAAGTAATATTTTTTTCTTACAGGATTAATTTTCTTCTACCCTTAAATATTGCGATCAGTATGCTCTTCAATAAATAAAAAAAATTACAATTGAAAAATTACAAAGAAATATGTATACCTTAAATCATAAAAAAAAAACCATCTATAAAAAAAATTTAATGCATAGATTAGGTCCGTATTATATTAAAAAATCCTATATTGTAACAAAGCACTCATCTTTTAAAAAATTACGTATTCTCAATAAGTCGAACGTGAGGAAAAATTACTTATATATATTAAACTAAAAGACTAAAATATATTAAAAACTAAAAGACTAGAAAATATATTAAAAATATTTAAAGTACTAAAAAGAATTTAAAGAATATAAATTAATAATGTAAGCAAATTCGAAAGTTAGCGCACAACCACAAGTGTAAAACCCATTGGTGTCGATTCATCAATAAAGGGCGCTGCGATCAGCGATTATCACGTGCTTTTCCACGTACGATCAAGTAAACAATAACAGCTGATCATTTTACACTTGTGGTTGTGCACTAACTTTCGAATTTGATTACATTATTAATTTATATTCTTTATATAAATTTTTTTTAGTACTTTGAATATTTTCTGGTCTTTAGTTTTTGTTTCGTGACTAAATGTAAGTAGTTTTAGTTTATAGTATTAGATTTATAACTAGTTTAATTTATTTTTCTATTATTTAGCTTCGTGTTTTTGTATACTTTTAGGTTCAGGATTTTAAATAATAAGAATGACAGCTAATATTACTTTATCAATAATAAGCGGCAAAAATACAAACCGGCTGTGTATATGTAAATTTGCTTGGTAAATATTCAATTCCAAAAAAGGGAGAAAAACCAATATTAAAAAAAAACATTAAGTAAATTCCTATTTAGGTCAACAAATAAAAATTTTATTTTAGCTTCCTTTTATTAAATAGTTATAATTAATATAAGTATGTATATACATATTACAGAATCATATTATAGAGACAAAATAAAAAGCTATTTTCCTTGCAATTTTCCATTTTCCTTTCTATATAGGGTCTTGGACTATTTTTTTTCTTACTATTTATTCATTCATTAAATTTAATTATTCTAATAAAATAGTATAGTAAAAAAGAAATCACATTCTCAGAAATTAGGCTATCCCAAATGGGATTCGAACCCACACCTTTAGATTAGAAGTCCAACACGCTCTCCATTGCGCTGCAGGGACACAACGGACGATTTTCCTTTCTATATATGCGGTTAGACTATTATTTGTTTGTTACTATTTATTCATTTAATTTATGAACAAATATTTGAAAAAAAATGTATTATCATCAAGTGTCATCCACTACAAGTTTTAAAAAAATGTATTTGAACTTTAATGGATGAATGGAAAGTATTTTATTAACGCGATTGAGGATTCCTCATTTTTTCTTCTCCAAACATAAACGCCAGTCGGAAGCAAAAATGTTTAATCCGTTATCATTCCAACTAGTTTGGTGTCTCTGAAACTTAATCCCAAGAATTTAGTTGGAATAGTGAAGCATGGAGGTGGAGGCGTTTTTATTTGTGGATGTAAATCCGGCTTCAGAATTGGGTAATTTAGCATTTTTTGATGGTATTGTGAATCATGAACTTTATTTAAATATTTTAAAGAACAATTTTAAATTATCCACCCCAAATTTGGGTATTGCGGCTGACTTCATTTTTTAACAAGATAATGACCTCAAGCGCACTGCTCTCAAAGAAAGCCTCTGGTGTTTATAACTGTCCTCAAATTCTAAAAACACCTCCTAAATAGCCTGATTTAATCCCAGCAGAACATATCTGGTGAAAATTTAAAGTACTAAAACATGACATTTGTACAAAACGTGAGAAGCAAAAACAATAATCACTCAATAATGGAGGAACATCGGTACAAAAAACTGATAAAATCTATAACAAGACGTTTAAAAGTTGTGAACCTAAAAAAGATACCCAACAAGTACTAAATTAAAAAACAAAATTTTTAAATATCCATTAGTTGGGGAACCATGATAAAGCGCATAAATGTATAAATTTTGATATTTAGTTCAGATTTGAATACATGTTAAAAAATTTAAATTATGACAAAAAAATATTTATTTTTTGGCAAAAATAACCCTTTTTTTTTCCAAAAGCTTTTTGAAAAAACTTTATTGTTTTCCGTATATAGCTCGACCTCTGTCAGAGATTCAACTTTTGATTTTTTAAAAATTCAAATTATTTTCAGAGTTACAAAACCCTTTTAATTATCGGCGTATTTTCTTAAAAAATTTTTCCCCCTTTTGTTGTCGTAAAACATGGAAAACCACTTTCCGGTTATGCATTTCAAAATTTAGTTGAGTCTGTAGAGAAAAGGGCAGCATATACACACAATATTAATTCAATAGAAGCATTTTTACAAAAGGAAAAAATTTTGGGAAAAATTATTCTAATTTAATTTTAAAAAAAGAAAATAAATTTTTTTTTCCAAAAAATTTTACATGTATTCTAATTAATGAAAAATATAAATATTACCCTTTACGCGTGTTCAAAATCAAACGGTTGAACTGTCATATAAACAAATTTTTGTGTGTGTGTGTGTGTGTGTGTGTGTGTGTGTGTGTGTGTGTGTGTGTGTGTGTGTGTGTGTGTGTGTGTGTGT